AAAGTGGCTACAGAGGAACTGCCTGTGAGTTGGTTGAAAAGGCAGGTTTCTCCTGGGATATCTTAAAGACGGCCCCCGGGGAACTTTAGGAAAACTCTCTACCTGAAACAACAGTCATCACACAGAAGAAGGCTGCTGTGACTAAATGTGGGGTTTCTCCCACCACCAAGCAGCAGACACCAGCTGGGTGTCCTCTAATTCAGTTTCAACACTATCTACCTGGAAACTGTCGGATCCCACAGGGGAGGGCTCAGTTCCACAAGACTGCCCCCAAGCCCTCATACCAGTTGCAAGTCCAGGTCTCTAGAACGTCTGACCCACCAGTTTCAAATTGCAGTTTCCATGACCCCTCTTTGGCTTCAATTAATTTGTGGGAATGGCTCATAGACCTTAGGGAAACATTTGCATTTACCAGTTTATTATAAAGGATGGTGCAAAAGATACAGATGAAGAGATGCATAGGGCAGGGTGTGTGAAGGGGCACGGGGCTTCCCTGCCCTCCCTGGATGTCCTCCTTGAGGAGCATCTATGTGTTCAGATCCAGAGGCTCCAGGAACCCTATCCTCTTGGGTTCTTATGGAAGCTTCATGATGGCAGCCCCAGCGTATAGGGCAGGACCCCCTCAGGGGAATCTTAAGACCCAAATCAGAAGGCTGGAAAGATCAGAGTCCTGCTTTAGGGGCAAGTGAGAGGAAAGCCCAGAGAAAATCAGAGAGATCCTGTCTCTGGGTTTGCCCTGAGGCCTGGCACACCCAAAAACAAGGGCTGTGGGGGTTATGAGCCAGGGACCCCAGACGAAAACTGTTCTCTACACCATGACGCCACACAGGGGAGCTCCGATGTCCCTGGGCTTGGGACCCACAGGACTCAGGGATCTGAAGGTCTTTTTGCTCTAACAATTTTGTATTTGTTTGGGCTTTGCTGGGCAAATAAACCTGGGCAAATTAAATAAGAGATTAAAGTAGCTACTCATTCACATATAATGCACACACACACATATTACTCATGTATGCATAATTTAAGACTCATAGGAAGTTGCAGAAAAAACTAGTTTGCGTATACCCTTTACTCAGCTTTCCTAAGTGGTAATATGTTTCATAACCAAAGTATGTTTTCAAAGCCAGCAATTAACATTGGAACATCATTAACTAAGTTTATTTGCAGTTCACCAGTTTTGATATGCTTGTGTATGTGTGTATAGTGTTATGATATTCCATCATAAGTACTGATTTGTGTAAATACCACCACAATCAAGACACAGACATAGTCCATCTCCACAAAGAAACTCCCTTGTGAAATCCTTTTATCATCATTTATTTATATATTTTTAGAGACAGGGTCTTTCTCTGTCACCCAGGCTGGAGTATAGTGGCATGATCATAGCTCACTGCAGTTTGGACTCCTGGGTTGTAGTGATCAAAGCTCACTGCAGTTTGGACTCCTGGGTTGTAGTGATCCTCCCCCTCAGCCTCTCGCGTACCTAGAACTACAGGATTGTACCACCCTGCCCAGCTTATTTTCTATAGAGACGGGTCTTGTTATATTGTCCAGGATGGTATAGAACTCTAGGCCTCAAGTGCTCCTCCTGCTTCAGTCTCCCAAAGTGTTGGGATTACAGGTGTGAGCTACCTCACCCAGCCTAGGACTACAGGTGCATGCTACCATGCCTGGCTAATTTTTTTATTTATTGTAGAGACGAGGTCTTGCCAAGATGCCCAGGCTGGTCTCAAACTTGTGGGCGCAGGCAATCCACTCCCCTTGGCCTTCCAAAGTGCTGGGATTACTAGCTACCCTTTTATAGTCAGACTCTGTCCCTTCTAATCCCTGGTGACCACTGATCTCTTCCCCATTGCTATCTTTTGTCATGTCAAGAGTGTTGTATCACTGAAATCATGCAACATACAATCTGTTGAGATTGGATTTTTGTACTCAGCAGAATACTCTAGAGATTCATAGAGGTTGTATATAACAATAGATTCTTTCTTTTCATGGCTGAGTAGTCTTTCATTTGTGAAGACACCACCATGTGTCTATTTGTCCCCTGAAGGACATTTCATGTTTCCATTTCTTGGCTATTGCAAGTAAACCTGCCATGAGCATTTGTGTTCAGGTTTTTGTTTGAGCAGACATTTTCATATCTATATTTCACTCCTGTACACACCCAGGAGCACAATTGCTGGGCCACAATGTTAAGTATCTGGGTTTATAATAAACTGCCAACCTTCCAGAGTGACGGTGCCATTTTCTATTCCCACCTATGATGTGTGAGATCCAGAGCTCCCTGGTAGGTGGTATCATCAGTGTCATATGGTTGTTTTTGTTTTTCTTTTTTTTTTTTTGAGTTAGAGTCTCACTCTGTCGCCCAGGCTGAAGTGCAGTAGCCACTCATGGCCACCCCAGCATCAGCCTGCTGGGCTCCAGTGAGCCTTCTACCTCAGCCTTCTAAGTAGCCGGAACTACAGGCGCATGCTACCACGCCTGGCTAATTTTTTGATTTATTGTAGAGACGAGGTCTTGCCAAGATGCCCAGGCTGGTCTCAAACCCGTGGGCTCAGGCAACCCACTCACCTTGGCCTCCCAAAGTGCTGGAATTACAGACTGAGCCACCAAGCCCAGCCGCTGTGGTTTTTACGGACATTTTCTTAACTTTTAATAATGTTGGCATCTCTTCATGTACTTGTTAGCCTTCTGGTGAAGAGATATTGATTTGCCTAACTGTAATGGGACTGTTTTCTCACTTTTGGTCTAGAGTTCTTCATATATTTTGGATATAAGTCTTTTGTTGGATATGTGATTTGCAAATATTTTACCTGTAGTTTGACTTTTCATTCTCTTAATAGAATTTTTCAGAGAAAAAGGTTTTAGTTTTGGTGAAGTCCAACAACTTCATTTTTTCCTTTTATGGAATGTGCTTTTGGTGTGATGTCTAAAAACTCTATCTAAGCCTAGGTTGTCAAGATGCCCTATGTTTTCTTTAAGTTTTATAACTTTACATTTAGATACATGATCCCTTTTGAGTTAATTTGTGTATATGTGTGAGGTTGAGGTTGAGGTTGCTTTTTTGCATATGGAAGTCCACATCTTGTACGAAAAGACGAACCTTCCCCCACTGGCCTTATGTTTCAGAAACTGACCACCCTTCTGATGTCTATTATGGATTCTCTATCCTATTTCATGGATTTGTGTTTCTTCCCTCCTCCAATAACAGACCTGGTCACTGCAGCTATAAGTTAAGTCTCGAAACCAATCTTTATTCTTCATGTCGGTGTTATGCTAATACTTTTCCGTGTAGGCTGTAGCATGCACTTTCCTGTATCTACATAAGAACAGAACAAAGCGCTGGGGCTTTGCTCAGATAGGTGCCAGGTAAATTCGCCCGCACCCCGGAGCCGACCCGGCAGGCCGCAGCCGATGTGGGCCCGCATCCCGCCACTGCGACGCTTGTGGGTCCGTCCGCAGCCCCTGGGCCTGGGTCTCTTCGCGCGTGGAAGGGCGTCCAGGCGTCCCAGGACAGCGACAGTGCTGCGCGAGCCCCACAGGCTGACCCGGGTAGTGACGACAGTGACTACGACGGGGAAATTGGTGGCCCATCTAACGCCCCGCCCCTCCCCGGGCCAGGCCCCGCCCCGACGAGGCCCGGCTTCCAAGCAGGGCCCCGCCCCCCACCTGAGCCTTTCCTCTTTCCAGGTCCGCCCCCAGCCGCCTGGATCTCCGCCCGGGTAGGCGCGTGGCCGCCACAAGGACCCACCACAGTCAACTGCCCGCGCCTGGCTCCTGGGGGGGGCGGTGGGGGTGCGTGGCCTCCCCGTAATAGCCAAAGTTTGGGTCAGTTACTGCCCGTCCACAGTGTCTGCCAGGCCGTGGGAGCGACGTGGCCAGTGCTGACTCTAGCATCACGCTGGGGAATGCGGCGCAGAAACCAAACAGGCTGCCCCTGCACCCCGGCTGAAGGATCAACTTTCTGGACGCACCCCACCTGAAGTGTGCATTCTGAAATAGGAGGCACGCATTGGACCCTAGAAACAGGAAGAGGCCCCACGGCTGGGTAAGAACTGGGTTTGGGCAGGAGCACTGGGAGCCCGGAGTGGCAGGCCAAGGCTGGAGCAGGCAGGGACTGAACAATGCAGGGGATCCCCAGGGCCAAGTCAGCTCTGGTCAGCCTCAAGGGACGGAGAGTCCCCAATCTAAAGCCAGGCTTTATTAGAGGTTAACTGTATTTACCAGTGCAGTCAACAGGAGTACCTTAGATCAGAAGGCTAATAGCCTCACCCTAGACATGCCACTTCCTTACTGTATCCATGATTGTAAACATTTGTGGACTGCAAAACCCCCACGTGATCAACCAGCTCCAACAATGACCCAAAACAACCAACCTTGTCCAATGCCCAACCACTTCCACCCTTTCTGTGCTCCAAAGTAATAAACATTAAAGTCAAAAACTTGTCAGGTTCTATCTCCTAAGAGCACTTCAGAGATCAATCTTTCTTGCTCTTGGTAACCTTTCTCCCTATTCCTCTGGCACATGCTTCCATCAATTCCCATGTACAAATCACCCAGTACTTACACCCTTCATCTTAAACATGGTATTGCAGCATAGATCCCAGCACCTCAAATAACACAGAAGGAGCAACTTCAAAGCTACTATTTTATCATCTTGGACTCCAAGATGACAGACTCAAAAATGTGCATTTCCAAGAGATGTTTCTTGTTCAATGAAACCTGAGAATTACTTCAAGTGTCACACCAAGTATTAAAGTATCTCACTACGAAGTCCATGAGTTTGCACTTTTTAAGTTTTAAAGTGACACTATAGTACAATGTATTTAATTCCAGATTTGTATCTTATTTTCTTCATTCCATGGAGGGAAACTTTGTCCTAGATTCCAAATCCATTAACTGTAGAGTCCTGAAATAACTCTGCTCTCCCCATTCCTAAACTAAGTAAAGCACACCATGCACCTTCGTGGTGAGAAGGGAAGTTAAGATAGGAAATGAAAACATTTTGGTTAGCATATGAAAATTTATTACTAGGTGTTTCCAGCATCACAACTTATGATCTTGGTCTTTCCTTCTTGCCTTTGTACAGGGCCAAAAGAGAGACATTGGCTACTTTGACCACCTTAAAGCGGACTCCAGGGATATCACCAACAGCATGACCTTTCCGACCAAATCCGGCAACCAGAACTTCATCATTCTCCTAGAATAAAATCAAAAGTTTATTTCTGGGGTCAATAGCAATCACAAACATTGTTGTGCAGAGACCTCCCCAAGACACTCACCTCAATGAAGTTCAAGCAGCCATCGTTGGGCACAAAAGCAGTGATCTTCTTGCCGTTTTTGATAAGCTGGACACGGACACACTTTCTGATAGCAGAGTTGGGCTGCTTGGCTTCGACCCCTCTGAAACATACAGCACAGCCATGAGTTGGCTTTCTGGAAAGGGATGCAGCTTACTACATCAAACAGACCTATTTAGAAATCGCTTCTGTTTTTTTCAATTTAATCTCAAATGGCTAAAACCTGTGATTTCAACCAAGTCCTTCCTCAGTCTTAGTTTCATTGACAGTGGGAGGAATTTCTAGTCCCTTCACAGTTCTGAGAGAACGAAGCATCAGAAAATCTAGGTTCACAACATGACTCTACCGCCAAATGTGACTGAACCACATAAAATTACCGTTTTGAAACCCAAGAACTGTCAAATTCATGTCTCAGTCATAGCTGTATAATCTGTCACTTCTAATACAGGTCACTTAAAAAAAAAAAGTAAAGACAAGGTTTCACCATGTTGCCCAGGCTGACCTCAAGCGACCCTACCTTGCCCTCCCAAAGTGCTGGAGTTACAGAATGAACACCCCTCCTTCACGCCTCTCAAGCAGAAATAGCACTTGACTACAGATTTAACAAACAACAGGCAGTTTGCTTGTAACAGTTTCCCAGAGTAAACGTCTACTTATGTCCGTAACTCCATTCTTACTGCAATCTCCAGTTCGTCCCAGGCCGATGTTGGAATTAAAAACCTTAGGTTGTTCCCAAACACTAATTTTACTAACTTGGAGCATCGATGCTGAATACCAGTGAATACGGATGCTCAAAAACCCAGAATTCGATGAACGCGGGGGGCGGCAGGGGCATGCTCACTCACACTTTCTCCAGCACGATGCCCTTGGCGTGCGACGCGCCCCCGAAGGGGTTGGCCTTCAGGGCTGTGCCCAAGTGCGCCTTCTTGTACTGCTTATCGTGCCACTTCTGGTCTCGCCGGTGGCTGCGGAGCTTCCTGGCAGTGCGGAGACCTCGACACTTGCCTGCAAGTTAAAACGTCTCAGCTCCCCCGCCAGACACGTCGGCCACGCTTCCCGCGTCCTAAGACACCCGCCTCCCCCAAACGACTGCCCCACGTCGGCCGGCTCTTGTCCTCATCTTGACCCCAAAGCCCCGGCTCAGCCAACTAACGAATACCAGCCCGAGAGTGCGCTTCCCGGAGGCCCTGACTCCGCTTCACGGACTGGGCGACGCCGGCCTCCCTGCCTCCCCCAGGACCCGACCTCTGCACCAGGCGACGTGCCTCACGAGCAGCGCTGCCCAGCCCTCGGGCCTCCCCGGGGTCCAACTCCCGGCTGTATCCCACCCTTCCGGCTGCACCGAGACCCCGGACCCATTCACTGTGCCCCCGCCAGCCAGCGCCCGCTCACCCATCCTGCCGGCGCCACGACCCGAGCGAAAGAGCGAGGTTTACGGGCAGCTCCCAGAAGCCCCCGCGGCACGCCCCGCCCCGCCGAGGACCCCGCAGCTGTCCGCGCGGGGCCTGATCCGAGCCAAACCCCTCTTTTGGAAACGGCCTGCTTGCACCACCTTCCTGAGCCAGAATCTGCGTCTCATTTAATTTTCATGAAATTCAGAGCTGTCTAGTTCGTATCGTTGTTTATTTCCTTTTCAGGTAAATACCGGCGGCAGGAGGGACGTGGACTACCGATCCCAGAGGGCTGTGCGCGAGAGCCGCCCACGGCGTAGGCGCAGGCGCACTAGCTAAAGCCTCGGCGGGCCTGGGCGGTGCGCCGAGGGCCTGACCCGGCGGGTTTCACTGGCCTTGCGGGGCCTCGGAGGAGAGGGTGGGAAGGGAGGCCAGTGCGCAACCTCCGAGGAGACCTTGGGGAGGAAGACCTGTGCGCGGCCTCCGAGAAGAGCATAAGCCGGGAGGCCTGGGCGACTGCCGTCCCTCACGCGGCGTCGTCAGTTGTGAGATGCTGCAGACCCACGTCGTGGCGTCATCACGCCGGGCATTGGCGTCTGTCCGGGGCCCGACCCCAACGCCGCCGTTCTACTCGTCGGCTAGACAGCCCGCCGAAGCGCTGACGAGCTCCGCTCCCGGGTCCTTGTCAACCGGCTGGACGCGAGCGCGTGCTGGGCGTCGGGTCCCTAGCAGGGGTTTAAAATGTCTTCTCGCAGGCCCGGACAACAGTGAAGCGTGGGCTCGGAGTGCAGGAATAGGGGAGCGTCCCCATGCAACTCGTGGCAGGGGACGGGGTTGGGCGGTGTCTGGGCAGATCACATACGAGCTAAGGCTCAGGATGAGACAGACAGGTATAAGGTGGAACCTTCCAGAAGAGGGTTCTCAGTCCCTAGGATGGGCCCAACCAGCAGGCTCGTGAATGGCACTGGCAAGGTTGAGCGGCCCAAGGAAAGGAGCCTGACCAGCGGAGGGGGGGGGGGCAGGGGTAAAGGTCGTGGGCTTGGGGGAGTATACAAGACGGGGTTTGTGGGTTTAGGGGTGAGGAGAAACGCAGGTGGCTCCAGGGCAGGTGGTGACAGTGGTTGTGGACAGTGGTGCCATCTGCTGGGGATGGTAGGGTATGAGGGAGGATTGGTCACGCAGCTTGACCTTGAATGAGTTGTGGGGTTATTTGCTGGGGGAGACACTCCATAGAAGCAGACTTGAAGGAGGGGATTGAAGTCCTGGCTTGGGTGTGTGAGTTTGAGATGTCTGTTGACATCTGGGATGGAAGTGGCAGCTGGATGTGGGTAGGCATTTTCAGAGCCACAGCCCACAGGACTGGCTACTCTGCCTGAGGTCACTTAAGGGAGGACTAGGAAGAAGAGAGGACGAGTGGAGGCTGGAGACCCAGCACACCGAAGCCAAGTGACAGGGAGAAAAGGGGGATGAAGCCCATTCAACGGAGGCGGGGAGTCCCGTGTAACATCGTCCACAGCCAAGTGAACAAGATGGCAGCGAGCAAGTGAAGGGGGTGAGATGAGGACTGAGAACCGTCTTTGGATTTGACATTGTGACAGTTATTGGGGACTTGATCAAGCGGGGATTCCACGGTGTGGTAAAGGTGAATGCCAAATCTGGTTGGAGTCAAGAATCTGGGAGGAAAAGCAGTCCAGACAATTAGATCATTTTTGCAAGGAGTTTTACTGTAATGTAAATGAGAAATGAAGCCATATCTGCAAGGGAGTGTGGAGTCAGGATGGGTTTTTGTAAGATGGCAGACTTTATGACATTTTTATATACTGTTGGGTAATGGGTAGTTTATTAGAGAAAGGGCATAATTGCAGGAGCAAGTCGATGAGTAGACTAGAGGGTAGCCGAGTAGAGGAGGTAACTAGGAATCAAGAAGTTATGTGGAGTAGCGGAGTGGCAAATAGATTGGAAGATTTGATGATGGAAAGATATGCAACTTTCTCTTATTTTTTCAGTGAAATAAGAAGTGAGGCCATCAGTGAAGAGGGGGGAAGAGGCTAAGGAAAGTGGGTAAAATGTGAAACAGTCATCTAGCACAAGCATTAGATGGTACTTACTATGTGTCAGACACAATCTCAAGTGCCTGTAATTCTAAATGGGATCTTCCTGAGAGACAGATGTGGAGAAACTAAGGCAATAGTGAGTTTAATTTGTCCAGATCACATATTGTTGGTTCCAAAAAAGTATACACATCTTAAGAGATGCTCTCTATTACTCTTCGAAGTTGAATTGTGGTAGCAATGTGTAGTATGACACTTGCTCAAAAGGTGGCATTAATCGAATGCTAGCATCACCATGCAACAGGCGGGACAAAAAAAAATTGGCAGAGGCATGGTTGTTGTTCGAGGAGTTCAAGACCATTTTAAAGTGGTATTTGAAATTTAAGAACAAGCCAGGCTCGGTGGCTCAACCTGTAATCCCGCGCTTTGGGAGGCTGAGGTGAGTGGATTGCCTGAGCCCGCAGGTTTGAGACCCGCCTGGGCAACTTATCATGACCTTGTCTCTACAATAAATCAAAAATCAGCCGGGCGTGGTAGTGTGTGTGCCTGTAGTTCCGGCTACTTGGAAGGCCGAGGCGGAAGGATCGCCGGAGCCCAGTAGGTCGAGGCTGCGGTGGCCAGGAGCAGCCACTGCACTCCAGTGTGGGTGATAGAGTGAGACTCCAACTCAAAAAAAAAAAAAAAAAAAGAATTTGAGAACATTGTGGAAGTGCAACAACAATTGGAGGTGTGCTTATGCAACGGAAACTCCAACTCACCTTACGATCGCAGGCATTCGTGGTAAGTATGAGAAGCGTGGTTCTGTGTGTGATGTGTACAAGGGAAGATTCGGGAGATCTCACACAGCAACAAGTCCTGCAGTAGTTCGCCGTAATCAGAAGTGTCTGGATGCTTCTGGTAACCACTTTGGGCACCTCTTATAATTGCATAAGTCAAATATGACTTGTATTCATCTTTTGTTATCAGTATATATTGAGTATTACAATTTTAATACAGTTTTTTCCTTTCTTAAAATGTGTATGCTTTTTTTGGCACCCTCTGTATTTAGTAAGTGGTAGACTAAGATGTGAACCCAGGCATTCTGGTTTTGGAACCTAATATAGAAATCAAATGCAAGGTTCTTGATCTAGAACAGTTGGAAAATGTATTGACAAGAGAATAGGATTGTCGAGCAGTTCTGAGGGCCCATTTGAAATCTGTGATTATAAAGTGACATCAGTGAGCATAGTTATGTGTATTTCTTCAGACTCAGTCTGTGTAGTGACTGAGTAGGTGGGGAGGTGGATTTAAGTGACTGGAGTTGGGGTCTAGTCAGGTGAATATGATGGAGGAAGGGCAAGGGAGTTGAGAGTGATTGCAGGAAAAGGATTACAGTGATGAAGCATGAAATTGAAACTGGAAGACTAAGGAGCCAGGAATAGCTAGTACCCTTCCCAAGAAAGACTTGCTCTACCATATATAAGAAATTGTTATGAAGCTAAGACAGCACATTAGTTCAGAAGTAGAGAAACTGATGAATAGAACAGAATGAGTGAATTCCAGCAGGAGATTCATATAGGTATAGAATGTTGTTAAATGACAAAAGTAGATGTCAGATTAGTAGGTAAAGGAGGGAACTGTCAGAAAGATAGAGCTAGGAGTCCTAGCCAAAGCAGTTGAGTTAGACGAGAAAGAAATTTAAGGCATCCAATTTGGAAGGAAGACATTAAATTGTCTATGCACATGACATGATTCTGTATACATAGAAAACCCTGAAGACCATCAGCAACTGCTATAGATGAATCAACTAAAGTTGAAGGATATAAAATCAACTTACAAAAATTTGTAGCATTTCTATACATTAGCAAACTGTCTGAAATTTTTTTAAAAAATCTCATTTACAATAGCATTTAACGAGCTGAAAGATCTGTACACTGAAAACTAAAACACTGATGAAAGAAATTGAAGAAGACACATAGAAAGATATCCCATGTTTACAGATTGGAAGAATTATTAAAATTGTCCATACTACCCAAAGTGATCTACAGATTTAATACAATCTTTATCAAAATTTACCTGTAGTCCCAGCTACGCAGGAGGCTCAGGTGGGAGACTCTCAATTCCAGGAGTTTGAGTCCAGCCTGAGCAATATAGTGAGACCCTCATCTCTTTAAAAAAAAAAAAAAAGTAACATTTTTCATAGAAATAGATTATCTCACTCAAAAGTGAGTATAGTTATGTGTATAATTATGACTATAAATAACAAAAGCAATCTTGAACAAAAAGAACAAAGCTAGAGGCATCACATTACCTGACTTTGAAATATACTACAAAGTTATAGTAATCAAAACAGCATGGTACTGGCACATATACTCACATACACAGAACAATAGAACAGAATAAACCCAGAAGTAGGTCCACACATTTACAGTCAATTGAGTTTTGACAAAGATGTTAAGAAGATACAATGGCGAAAGTCGAAAGGACATTGTCTTCAATAAATGGTGATTGGAAGGCAGGTTATGTGTAAAAGAATAAAATTAGACTTTATCTCACACTACATATTTTAAACAACTCAAAGTGGATTAAAGACTTAAATATAAGACCTGAAACTGTAAAACTGTTAGAAGAAAATGAGAAAAACTCCATGACATTGGTCTAGACAATGATTTTTTGGGAGGGGTTGTGACCTTAAAAGCGTGGGCAACAAAAATGAACATAGATTATGTTGATTTTAAAAGCGCACAGCAAAGGAAACAACAGAGGAGACAAACTATGGAATGGGAGAGATTATTTGCAAGCTATACATCTGATAAGGGGTTAATATTCAAAATATATAAAAGAACTCAAACAATAGCAAGAAAATAAACCAATTAAAAAATGAGCAAAAAAGCCTGGGCAGATTGCCTGAGCCCAGGAGTTCAAGACCAACCTGGGTAATGTAGTGAAACCTTGTCTCCACAAAAAAATTTTAAAAACAATTAGCTGGTAGTGCATGCCTGTAGTCCCAGCTACTCAGGATGCTGAGGCAGAAGATTCAGCCTGGGTGACAGAGTGAGATCCTGACTTTAACATA